CGATCATCAGGCTATTTTCCCCAGTTCAAAAAAAGTAGACAGAATTTTGCGATTGCCTATACAGGCATAAGTTGGGCTTTAATTTTCTCAGAAACCGGTAAAGTGCGCATTTCACTTTCGGGGGCTTTTTGCAGGGAAAAGTGCATTCTTTTTGCGAAAAAAAGTTTCGATTTGCATCCAAACACGGGCCATTTTTGAGAATTTTTCACTGTTAGCAGCACCGTTTTGTTTTTGGTTTGTAGTCGTTTCTGTAGACCAAAGTTTGGCATTTATTTTCTTAGAAACATGTGAAGTTGCAGAATTTTCCGCTTGTTTATGGCATTAATTTACTCAGAACCTCACTGGCTGATTGCTTAGCCAACAAGCGAAAGGGAGTTATCTGAAACGAGTTATCTGGCGATGAAAGTGTTGCAAACAGCCAGACAAATATCGCTAATGTGCCAGTTACCTTAACAATCACCTGGTAATCTGGTTCCAATCGGAACCATGTCGTACATTGTTGACTTTACTACTTATTGAGGCAACGCGCGTAAATGGTTCATTGCTTAATTCATTTTGTCGCCTATATTTGAAACAATGAACCCGATTTGCATCTATTGTTCTTTGGTTTTTATCTACTCGCGAATCCAACAGGACAAAACCTTCTGAGCTTTTTTAATTCTAAGTTAGCTTCGCTCTGTTCTTCAAAGTAACACACCCCTGAAGAAGCTCCCGGTGCTTCGGAAACATTGGGAAGAAACCCTTTTGCCCAATAGAAACAGTGCAATTCTGGGACTAAATCGCATCAAAACACGTTGGGATCTTGTGCATGATGGTGCAAATTTCCATTGTTTCTAAGGCAGGTTTCCACTAAACGTTTTGCGTCATTTAATGGACGTGAGTGAAACCCGTTACTCCCGGCTGATCGCCACATTTTGAGATAAAAGTGGAAACTCGTGCAGCGATTAAAAACACATTCGCAACATGTGCCTGCTCAAGGTTACTAACTAGATGCAATGCGAGGTGCTAATAAAGTGTGCCTTAATGTTGCAAACAATTGAATTTGCTTTTGGTGTTTTACGATGCGGCTGCAAGGCCAGATTCGAGCAGTCTGTAAATGTGTGGGTTCCACTCAGCCCCTGGGCTGGATGGTATTTTCACGAAATTAATTAAATTTTCTAAATCAAATATTTCCGTTCCAATATCTCATATTGTAACTCTAACTCAAAACAGGAATACTTCCAGATTTATTCAAAAAGTCCTTAATGGTTCCAGCACACAAATCAGGCTCGAAAAAGCTCCTAGAAAATTTTAGACCAATTAGTTTAATTAATAACGTTGCAAAACTGTTAGAAAAGTGCTTGAAGGACAGACTGGTCAACCTTTTTAAAACATTTAAAATCCTGTCGGACAAACAATTTGGGTTTGTTGAGAATTGCAGTACAGCCTGACATCTGAGATTATTAATAAACTGAATGAACGCAGAAAATGCTTGGCTATTTTCCTGGACCTCTCAAAGGCCTTTGATACTGTTCCTCATGATC